CAGGAGAGCAGGCAGATCTCAAGAAAAGCACAATCACCAGAGAAGTGGTACTGAGTAAATTGTTGGAGCTTTGGGCTAATAAATGATTGGCTCCTGATGGATTTCATTGCAGGGTCTTAAAAGAAGTGACAGTGAGATGGTTTATGCATTTGTTTTAATTTTCCAACACCCCAGAAATTTGAGAAAAGTACCATTAGATTGGAAAATAGCAATGTAACTCCTTTATTCAAAATGGAGGGTGACAGAAGCAGGACCAATTAGCTTAACATCTGTCACAGTGAACATTTTAAAAACTATTGTTAAAGTTATGGGAAGGCACTTGGATAAGTTCAAGGTGATCAGGCAGAGTTAACATGGTTTTGTAAGAGAGAAATTATGTTTAACCAATCTTTTGGTGTTCTATGAGGAAGTAGCATGCACTGTAGATAAAAGGGAACCAGGAGATGTACTGTCTTTACATTTCCAGAACGTATTTGCTAAGAAGCCACATCAAAAGTTATTATGGAAAATAAGAGCTCATGGCATAGGAATAACATACTATCACAGATTGAAGATCGGCTGGCCAACTGGATGTGGACAGTAGGCATAAATGGATCTTTTTCAGATTGGCAAGATGTAACAGTGGTATGTCACAGGATTCGGAGCTAGGGCCTCAACTGTTGATAATTTATATACATAATCTGGATGAAGGGACATGGAGGATGGTTGCAAAATTTATTGATGACACAAGACAAATAGGAAAGTAAGTTGTGAAAAGGACATAAGGAGTGCAGAAAGTTATAGACAAGTGGATAAAGATCTGATAAATGGAATATAATGATGAAAAATGTGAAATTGTCCATTTTGGCAGAACAGGTAAGAAAGAAACATATTATCTAAATGGTGAGAGATTGCAGAGTTCAGAGCTGCAGAAGAATCTGAGCATCCTAGCAAATGTGTGCACATAAGGTTCATATGAAAGGTTATCAAGGGAAGGTGGGAATGCGCATTTGAGTTTACAGTCAGATCAGCCATGATCTCATTGAATGGTAGGGCAGGCTTGAGGGCCTAAAGAGTTTGTTCCTGTATATAATTCATAAGTTTGTCTGTATGCATGATCATTTTGCCCACTTCTGCTTCTTGTTCATGTGTTTGTCTGTTAAACATTGCAAAGTACTGGAGTTCACTTTTAGAATAGTAGAATAAAGAAAGGATGATAATGTTAATGACATAGATTGTATAATTAGATTACATGTACTGTGTGTAGTGCTGGTACTGATCACACAAAAAGATACTGGCATACTGGAAAAACTCCAGGTAAGATGTTAAAGATTGTTACCACTAACAGAAAAGTTTAGAGCTGATTGGAGATGTATTTTCTGGAAAAGATGCATTCATTCAGAGAGGTGGTCTTTTAAGTCTGGACCAGCCATAATTTGTTGCCCACTCCTAATTGCCCTTGAGATGGTGCTGGTGAACTGCCTTCTTGAACCACTGCAGTCCATTTGATTTAGGTAGACCCATAATGCTTGCTGCATTTGGACACCGTCTGCTTTAGTATCTGAAGAGTCACAAATGGCGCTGAACATTCGCGAACATACCCACATCTCTTCTTATGACGGAGGGAAGGTCATTGATGAAGCAGCTGAAGTTGGTTGGGCTTAGGACATTACACTGAGGAACTCTTGCAGAGATATTCTGCAGATGAGGTGACTGACATCCAAAAACCACACCCAGAGGAGAGTTTGTCCCTGCTTACCAGTTTTGCTTGAGACTTTGATGCCATACTCGAAGAATTGCAGTTTCAATATCAAGGGCTGTCACTCTCACATCACTTCTGAAGTTCCATTATTTTGTCCATGTTTGAACCAAGGCTATAATACGGTCAGGAGCTGAGTGACCTGGTAAAACTCAAATTTAGCAGCTGTGAGTAAGTTTTCGTTAAGCAAGCGCTGCTTAATGGAACTATTAATTTATCATTTTAATAAATTTATCATTTTAACAAGTAGACTGATGGGATGATAGTTGGCCAGGTTAGATTTGTTCTGATTTTTGTGTACAGGACATATCTCGGTGACTTTTCACATTGCCAAGTGAACGCCAGTGTTGTAGTCTTTCATACTATTGTCGACTATTGTAGGAGCCCACAGTCTTTGCAGTAACCAACGCTTTTAGCTGTTTCTTAATATCACATGGATTGACCCAAATTGGCTGAAGGTTGGCATCTGTGGTCCATGCATCTTCAGATGAGGCTGAGATGGATCATCCATTCAGTGCTTCTGGCTGAAGTAAATGCTTCAGCCTTTCTTTTTTACCCTGAAATTCTGGGCTCCCCAATCATTGAGGATGGGGATAGTTGTGAAACCTTCTTTGGTTGCTTGTTTAATTATCCACCACAATTCACGACTGGATTAAACGGGACCCCAGATCTACTGGCTTTGGAATCGCCTAGCCTTATTTATCGCTTGCTGATGATGTTGTTAGGTATGCATGTGTTATCGTTGACACCTCATTTTCAAATACAGCTGATATTGCTCCTGTATTGCCCTTCATTAACCAGGATTAATTTGTTGGCTTGAGTGGGGGATATACCAGGCCATGAGGTTGCAAATTATGTTTGAGTGCAATTCTGCTGCTGCTGATGGCCTGTTAGTGCTTCATGGATGCAAAGTCTTGAGTCATTCAAATTCAATCCCATTTAGATCGGTGGTAATGCCGCAACACAATATTGGGCAACGTCAATTTGAAGACAGGGCTTTGTTTCATCAAGGACTGTGCAATGGTCACATCTACTGATATGGTCATCGACAAGATGTATCAGCAGCAGAGAAATTGGTGAGGGTGAAGACAGGTATGTTTGTCCCTCTTGTTGGTTCTCTCAGCCCTATCCACACACCCAGCAGCTGAACCAATCTTGGTGATAGAACATAGAAATCATTCACTCAGGGCACATTCTGCACCTTTGCCACATTTGTGTTTCTTCCTTCCAAGTGGTTCGACATGGAGGAATACTGAACCATTGGCCAAGGCTGGGGTGGGTTGAGGGGATGCTGGTATGTGGTAATCAGCAAAGGAGGCTTCCTTGCCCATATTTAATCTGATGCCATGATAACCTCTTGAGGTCCAGAGTCGATGTTGAGAACTCACTCCTGATTCCTCTGCTAGTGGGATAGGACATATCCAGCAACGGTGATGGTGAGAGAGATAGTAGGAACTGCAGATGCTGGAGAATCCGAGACAACAAGGTGCAGGGCTGGATGAACACAGCAGGCCAAGCAGCATCATAGGAGCAGAGAGGCTGACGTTTCGGGCCTAGACCCTTCATCAGAAAAGGTGATGGTGTTGTCTGGGATGTTATCTGTAAGGCATGATTCTGTGATTATGACTGTGTCTGGTTGCTGCATGTCTAGTCTTTGAGACAGTTCTCCTAGTTTTGGCACGTGCCCTCTGATGTTACTAATAAGGACTTTGCAGTGCTGAGTTTCCTGTTGTCATTTCCTGTGCCTAGGTCAATGCCAGCTTTTATGCAAAGCAGTTATATATATTTTTTATGTATAGCAATTAGGTAAAACTAACTGTCTTTTTAGTTTTACATTATGTAATTGGGACAGTGGGAAAATAAAAGGAGTAACTCAATGTGATAAAAGACAGCACCAAGATAAAACGGGTATGAGAATTTGAGCTGTCCTTACAGATAAACAAGCCTGAGAAGGACCCAAATGAGTATAGCCATTAAACTTTTGGAATGCAAATGAATAGGATGCATAGAAAGATCCCAAGCCTACAGATTACAATACCTAGCTAATACCATAAGATCATGGGACCCTGGGGCTGTCCATAGAAGTGTCCATCATTGATTAAGTGTCCCACAGGATTGGGTGTTTGGATTGGGGGAAGGACAGTAAATATGTTGTGTTTGACTACTGTAACCCCGAGGCGGTGAGAGTGGGAGCAGGCAGCCCCGAGGCGGTGAGAGGGGGAACAGGCAGCCCTGA